CCTGGGGGGCTGCGTGAACCTGTGCTTCTTTGCTTCTGTCCATTAGATCGCAGCCTCTTGGATACCAGCCGGTCTCTACAGGAGGTGTTGCTGGGGCTGCTTGCTCCCACACCTGAATTCACATTCCTCCTCCGCCACTCACTACAGGTGTGACCTTGGGCAAGTCCCTTTTCGCTGAGCTTACCTGGTCTGTAAGCGGTGACAGTAGTAATAACAATAGCTTACGTGGGGCCCACTCCACCTCAGGCATTTCATTCTCACAACAAATCTACTGGACAGGATCGGTTGTTATTTCAATGTAAAGATGAGGGACAGCGACATTTAGTCTTGCCCAAGGCCACACAGTTTAGTATAGTACTTTGTACCTGCTGGGACCCAGTAAGCCTTAGTTGTCTCAGACCTGCCCTGATTCCTTTCCCTGCCCTGATTCCCTTCCCTCATAGCAGGATGGAGCCAGGTGAGGAACTGGAGGAGGAGGACTCTCCGGGTGGCCGAGAGGATGGCTTCACTGCTGAGCACCTGGCTGCGGAGGCCATGGCAGCTGACATGGACCCCTGGCTGGTGTTCGATGCCCGCACTACACCTCCTGCTGAGCTGGATGCCTGGTTGGCCAAGTACCCACCATCCCAAGTCACACGCTATGGGGACCCCGGTTCACCCAACTCTGAACCTGTGGGCTGGATTGCAGCCTATGGGCAGGGCTATACCCCCAACTCAGGTGATGTACAGGGCCTGCAGGCAGCCTGGGAGGCTCTGCAGACCAGCGGGCGGCCTATCACACCAGGTACCCTGCGCCAGCTGGCCATCACCCACCATGTGCTTTCAGGCAAGTGGCTGATTCACCTGGCACCTGGCTTCAAGCTGGACCATGCCTGGGCTGGCATTGCCCGGGCTGTGGTTGAGGGCCGACTTCAGGTGGCCAAGGTGAGCCCACGGGCCAAGGAGGGTGGGCGCCAGGTCATCTGTGTTTACACGGACGACTTTACGGACCGCTTAGGTGTACTGGAGGCAGATTCGGCCATCCGTGCGGCAGGCATTAAGTGTCTGCTCACCTACAAGCCAGATGTCTACACCTACCTGGGCATCTACCGGGCCAATCGCTGGCATCTCTGCCCTACTCTCTATGAGAGCCGTTTCCAGCTTGGAGGCAATTCGCGTGGCTCTCGGGTGCTGGACCGTGCCAACAATGTGGAACTCACCTAATAAGGCCAAATGGGGGAGACTGTCCTCTATCCCCACCCTGCTGAGGATGGACCCAACTGTCTTCCTCCTCCTCGTCCCAAGGCCAAAACCCCCCAGCTCTGAGGATTAGGTTACTTGGTAACTTCCTGCATCTTCAGTCCCCTGGAACTTTTGCCCTTTGTTCAGGGCTGGCTCCAGCCCCAAAAGACTTGGGGCTTGGCTCCCTGAGGGGCAAGCCCTCAGCCTTCCTCTTTGCTGCTCCCATCACTGCCCAGGATCACAGTTTGGGTGCAGATACTCAAGAAGAGAACCTTCCTTGGCCACCCTTGTCCCCAGCTATACCTACCCCTCCTCCTGCATTCTTCCCTTCTTTCCTTCCTTCCTCTCAAGGGGGGAAACTTAGTGCTTCCATTCGCTCTCCTTGGAGCCATCATAGTCCAGGGGACAGGGGCCCTGCAGGACTGAGCATGCCATTTTGTTGGGAGGGTCGTTGTGCCTGCTCATCCCCTGGCAGAAAGGGGATGCAAGGCCGCAACATGGGGCCTGCCCCTCCCTGCCCACTCACAGTCTGCACCATCTTCCTCCCTTCTCTGGCTACCTTGACATGTGCCTGTTCCTGGCATTTCAATAAAACCCAGCTTGGGTCTGTGTCTTGAGTGTTTTTTAAAATACTGTTTTGATGGTTAACTGCTTGGTTGCTGGGAAGAGGCTGGGCCAGGAGAGACTGCCCCCTGAAACCCCACTGCCTGCCCAGTAATCGGATATGCCTCACTTCCAACAGTGATCTCCCTTCTCCCTCTTTTCTTTTCCTTTTTTTTTTTGCATTAATAGGAATTGAACCTAGGGGTGCTCTATCATGAAGTACATCCCCAGCCCTTTTTGCTTTTTATTTTGAGACAGGTCTTACTAAATTGCTGAGGCTGGCCTTGAACTTGTGATCCTCCTGCTTCAGCCTCCTGAGTCATAAGGATTACAGGTGTATGCCACTGTGTCCAACAGTGGTCTCCTTTTCTGAGAACTTCTGAAAAGCTAGCCCTGATTCCTTTCATCAAAAAAGTCAGTTTTTCCATAAATCTGGGGTTGACCCAAGAAGTCCCAAGGGATCACTCCTACTCCCCAGGGTGCATTTGTGTACTCTAGAGAAAAGTGTTTTCTTGGTCCTGGCAGTCCCAGACTGGGGCCCACCATTTGGTGAGCAAAGAATGTGCTGGATTTCAGTCTCTCTTGGCTGGACAGTCTCTCTCAGTGAATAACCTACACAACCATAAGTGGTCTCCTGAGACTTTTCCATGTGTCCTCACCTCTGCTGTCTATCACAAAAGCCACCGGTTCGTGAAGCAATTCCATCAACACCATTTAACTCTTAGGAACTCTTTAAGGGGACCACCATCCTGTTTTCAAGGAAATTGAGGTCAAGAGGGAAAGGGGTTTTCTCAGGATAATCCATTGAGTGGGCAGAGCTGGGACTTGGGTCCTGTTCTTTGTCTTCTTCAGGCAGAGTATGGTCCTGGACCTAGAGGAGAAAATTTTGCCTGCCTTCATGCTTCACAACCCACAAAGCACATTTACTCACACAGTCTCATGGGACACCTTGCTCCACTCAGGCTGCTGTAGCCTCTGGAAGCCTGGCTCCTGCATCTTCTGCCTACCCAACTCTACATCTGGTCCTGCCTTGGTTGAGGGCCAGGGAATTTGGCAGGGCACCCCTCTGGATGCTGCTCTCGTGCCGAGCAGGAGCTGACTCAGCCTCCAGCAGCCTCACCAAGTTGGAATTTGGAACAAGGGAGCGGAGATGCCACTGGGCTGACTGGGTGGAAGTGGCTGAGTCATGAGATGCTGGCTCAACCCCCTCCCCAGCTTCCTCCCCACCCTAAGCTTCCCCAGGGCTGAGTCCCCCCAGTCCAGCCTTGGGAAGTCCCCAGAACTGACCTTGGAATTGGAGCCTGTTGCCCTGCCTATCTCAGACCATCAGTGCTTTGTATTTGATTGAAGTGGGCCAAGGTTTGGACAGGCTATCATGGGTGCCTGTCCAAAGATGCCCAGGTGATATGGGCAGCCCTGGTTCTCCCATAACAGCGCGCCACACTCATCCCTGTTCTCCATCCCCCTGTCTCCATGGCCCTGCATTGGCCCATTCCTCACCATCTCTTCCAAACAATGGCAACAGCCACTAGTTTGCCTCCCCTGTCTTCCCACACCTCCAGGTCTATGGACACTGCAGCAGAGCTGGCCATGCATCTGAACTGCTCAAAGTCCTTCCATGGCTCCCCAAGTCCTGTAAGAGTCCACTCTTCTGGGCTGGCATTGATCTGGCCCTCATCAGCTGGCCCAGCTTCCCTTGGACATCCCTACCTGCCCATGCTCACTCCACCAAAGCCAACTGGCACTTCCTCACCCCTGGGCCTCAAGCCTTCCTTCTACTAGAACACCTGCTTTGTAGCCCTATCACGAGACCTTGTGGTTACTTATATAATCACCTGATTGATGTCTGTCTCTTGCTGTACCCTAAGTCACCAAGACTGTGTGCTGTACAAAGCCAGGAACAGTGTCTAAATTTCAGCCCTGAGTTCACCTCTCCATAAATTATTAAACAAATGAAGAAAGTAATTAACTTGGAACCAGCTCCCTTTGTCCCCTCCCACTGCATCTCTCCCCTACTCCCTTCTCATCCTTGTTCTAGAATCGTGAGCTGCATGTGGTTTTCTTGCACACATTCTGACATTCTAGCCTTTCTCACTTCTGTGCCTTTGCTAGGCATGCCGGTTCCTCACCCACTTTCCTAACTCCACATCTCAGACCTGTAGACTCAGGGGTCATCCCTACAGGCCTTCTGCCACCTATCTTCACCCCAACTGTTCTAGAACATTCCTAGGTTCCCAGTATAGCCACCCACCTGTGGTATCCATCTTTTGTTTGTTTGTTTGTTTGTTCTAGGTATTGAACCCAGGAGTTAACCACTGAGCTACATCACCAGCCCTTTTAATTTTTCATTTTGAGACAGGGCCTCACTAAGTTACTGAAGCTGGGCTCAAACTTGTGATCCTCCTGCCACAGCCTCCGAAGTCACTGGGATTGCAGGTGTGTGCCACTTCACCCAGCTTTGTGGCTCCCATCTGCGTGTCCTGGATCCCTTGAGGACAGTAGCAGCAGTTTACCTATCCTCCAGGATATCCTCAGTACCCAAAATCGCACCCAGCCTAGCGGAGGAGTCAATAAACATTCTTCAATAAATAAACATTCTTGAATAAATGCATAGTTGAATGAAAGTTATTTTGTGTCTGTAGGCCTCAGTTTCCTCTTTCTGTTGACAAGAGCCAAGTACTGGCTAAGTGTTTACTTGGATTACCTCACACAAGCTTCATTTGGCTTGGCTATTATGGCCATTTTGCAGAAAAAAACAGGTTCAGAGAAGTTCAGTAATTGACTCAAGGACACAGTAGGTGGCAGAGCCAAGATTTAAACCTGGTCATCTTGCTCCAGAGCACCTGCAACACGATTGAGCCTTCATTGTATGAAAGTGATATTGGGGTGAGTGCTGCAGAAATCAATGAGATCCACTAAGGGCTTAGGATCAATTGGTAAAGCACACAGGTTGGGTCCTCAGAGACCTCTGGGAGATAGGCCAAGGCACATGGAGAGTCCCTTTGATACTGATGAAGAAACTGAGGTTCAGAGAGTGCAGCTACTAGGCAAGAAGGGTGTCCTGGGCCTACAGTGAGGGACTGCTCCCCTGTCAATTCAAGACTCCCCAAAACCCACCCCTCAGGCTGGCAAGGGATTTGGCTCTATTCGGCCAGGTCCTGTCAATGTGGAGCAGGGAAGTGGCCAGGTTTGGGGTGGTCTGGCTAAACTTGGACAAGCCCCTGTGCTATGCTCCTTTTATAAACCCAAGGGAAGAATGACTGAGGCCAGGAAAAGAAGACTCTCCCCTCCTCCGCACTCACACATATAGTCCTCTACCACACACTGCAAACCCTCAGGTCCTGGAGAGGAGGCATCAAAAGGGCTGCTAGTGAGGGGAGACCCTGCTTGACCCCAGGACACAGTGGGCAGAATCAGGAGGACAGGAAACAGGGCTGGAGACACTCAACCAGAGATTTGGCAGGATTTGGGGGATTTTCCTGGTGGGGCAGCTGCACCCCACTCCCACCGACTGGGCGGGGCCCTGGCAGGGATGGGGATTGGCTCACATGGCTGATTCATCTGAGGAGGGAAACTCCCCACTTCTCTGACGTGCATCCCCAGGCAACAGGGTAAGCCTGAGGGCACCTGGCTGAGAAGCCCACCAACCCCATGGTTTTTTGGTTCCTGGCCTCCCAAGAAGACATAACAAACCCTAGACTAGACAGAGAGCCAGTCAGGCAGGGTAACAGGCCTTCAGGAGTTTTCCCAGAAAAGAAAACCAGAGACTATACAACCAGACTGAGGGCTGGACAGGGCCACCTCAGGCATCCTTTATCGCCCATTTTGTAGATGGGGAAACTGAGGCTCGGAGAGTAAGAGCAGACCTGCTCTGTGCCACTCACTTCACTCCTCACAGCCTTCCTTTCATTGATGGGAAACTGAGGACCAAAGATGTTAAGGAATTTGCCCAAGGTCAACATTAGAAATACTCTGGCAGCGGCCATCACTCCCAAGAGCGTTTTCCACAGCTTTGTAGCAAGAGGCTTTGCCCCTGGTCCCTGAGCAGCTCTAGCTCCTGGAGGCAAAGACTTCTCAGAGGCAAAGTCTGAATTGGTTTCTCTGGTCCCAGCTCTGTCCCCAGGGAACCCTGGAGGGTGGACAAGTTCTGCACCAGGCCTTGGCTCTCCCCCCTCAACTAAAGGGAGAAAGCGGGCTCCTACAGAAAAACCAGCCAAAGCCTCTGAGGCCAGGAGAGGGCAGAGTCATTCCCGCCAGAATCTCTTCAGGGCTTTGACGTTTTTTTCCAAACCCCAATCCCTTCCTCCCAAGTCAGAACCTCCCTTTTCTGTCTCACCACCTGTCTCCCCCAGCACACCACACACCACACACTCTCCTGCACACACATGCTCGCTGATTATCCAGCCTCTAGGCTCTGCCCGCAGGGAGACTGGGCTGGTCCTGCTTCCCTCTACCCCAGGGTCAGCGGCTGGCTGGGTATCAGAGCCCGGCTGAGGGTTGAGCTTCTCTGAGGTGTGGCCAGGAGCCCATGCAGGCGAGCTCTGCCCCATTTGGCTCCTGCTCACATGACTCACCCCCTGGGCCCCCATGACTCAGTTTACACCGGTGCCTGGAGGTCCACCCAGCTAGGGTGGGGCGCTTTACTGACCCAGCCCAGGCCCGCCAGCCTTCCATCCCAGGATGAGCGTTTCATCCCACTTCTGGCCCAGAGCAGGAGCTGGCACCCTCAGGGGACAGCAGGCCTGGCTCCTAAGAGCCTGGGGACAGGAAGTGGGGCAGTCCTAGGTCTGAGTGTTTAGGATGAGCCCAAGAATGGGTGACAGGCTCCAATTATCCTGGACCTGGGTCTTCATGGAGCAGGAACCACTCTAAGACACTTAAGGGGCCAGGACAAGTGGACAGGGCCATCCTGGACACTGATAGCAGAGGCAGTCACCCGTCTTTCAAGAAAAAGGTTCACATGGCACAAAACATGACAGCAAGCAAATGCTTGAAAACATTCTTGGCTCCTGTA